TTTCAAAAACCTCAGTGTTAACGTAGTAAAAGAACTATTCAAGGAATTTTTATATTTAATCTTGCTGGCAAAAGTAGGAAAATGTAAACGCCCAACAGGAAGCACAAAAGTTCCCGCTTTGTTCGAGTTTTTATAAGTTTTTTACAGACCGCCGTATTGCAAGGATCAAAGTGCTAACAGTTTACCTGCTACCCGGACCGATTTAATGCTTATTCGAGGACATTTAAGAAAACTCACAATAGAAGTAAGTGAACTGTATGTTACCTTCGTTTTGTTAATTTAGTCTTTCTTTCGTTACCTTTTAAACAGAATTGAAGTAGCTTAAATTAAGTTTGTTTCCTTTAAGAACCACGTGACTTCGCTTGTATCAACTTTTAGCTTTTATCAGCATTTATTCCGCTTTTCTAGTTTCATGAATCAATTATTTGATTACACTTATTAAATAGAATATATTTGTACAATTTGATTTCAGATCGAATAAAATTACTGTTATACAATTGCGAGTTATTCTTCGGATTTGATTCTCCATTTTCTAATGAAAAAATCAGTTGCTATCAATTTCAACCCTTCAAGCTTGTCCTCACATGACATGACTCCTTTTGTATTTGCTGTGTTACTGTTTTGAGCCCGAGGGGGGTGGGGGGAGTACTTCCTTATAAAAGGGGTAATGGGGATGTGCCGCTGGATGGGGTCCCATTTTCAAGACTGGATTGAATAAACGGGGTAGCACATTTTCGGATTTTTGGGGGGTAAGAAAGTTCTCCATATTTCAGGTTAGCAAACGTACTAGAATGTTTGTACTGCAGATGAAAAGTAAAGTGTTCCTCATTCAATCTAAAAAATGGGTCAATTCATAAAAGTAGAAAGTGACTAAGTTGGGATCGCGAAAATTACATATTTGCCCAAAAGTGACTAAGATGGGGTCTATAATTGGCCACAGAATAGACTATAATGGGGTATAGGCTCTGAGAGGCCAGCGGCACATACCCAGCAAAACTTTTTAGTACCCAAGTACCCCCTCTCCCCGGGGTTTTGAGCGGTTATTTTAATGTTTCACTCAATCTGGTGGCGTTTTCCACTTTTTGAATTTTGATAAATTTCGTGATACAATACCTTTAGATATCACAGGAGTATCAGTACCTTCTTCTGAAGGAGGAAATACTTTCAGCTGGATAATTGAAGACCTGGAAAAGCTGGGGTAGTGACGGTCGCAGAGCCACTGACATTTATACATTCCCTCGTCTGCTTCAGTAACGTTAACAATGGTGAGAATGAAATCTTTTTTGCATTTAATGCAAAAAAGATTTCATTCTCACCATTGGTGTTGGTTTTCCTTTCTTGTATATCATACTTTTCACCAAATTTTAATTCCCCTGAGCTGTTGTTAAAATACCACTGTAAAGAANCTTTAGATATCACAGGAGTATCAGTACCTTCTTCTGAAGGAGGAAATACTTTCAGCTGGATAATTGAAGACCTGGAAAAGCTGGGGTAGTGACGGTCGCAGAGCCACTGACATTTATACATTCCCTCGTCTGCTTCAGTAACGTTAACAATGGTGAGAATGAAATCTTTTTTGCATTTAATGCAAAAAAGATTTCATTCTCACCATTGGTGTTGGTTTTCCTTTCTTGTATATCATACTTTTCACCAAATTTTAATTCCCCTGAGCTGTTGTTAAAATACCACTGTAAAGAATTGTCATAACAGTCGCTTGGCCTAACACCTACTTCGCACTTTAAACTGACATTGGAGTAGGCTGTCACCGAAACCTCGCGATAAGAAATCTTCGGAGCCTTAGGCAAGAGACCTGTATTAGATGATAAAAAGATATAATGAGCAAATATTATTTGAAAATCGTTACCATTTTTTGTGCAACCGTAGGGGGTAACATTCTTACTCTTACCCTCCCCTCCTGAGTATTTGTGATAATATATGGGGCATCAAAACGCTTTGTAGTTTTCACGTGTTGATTTTGTTTATCCCACTGGTTCCCTCTTTTGCGAGTTGTCTCACGTCACGCCGTCGTTACAGACGCTCCAACGAACGGTTGATCTTCTCTTACCTCCCACCAATATGGCCTGTGCTAATAAGGGTTGATTTCAATAGCTATTCGGCGTCTCGTTTTCTCTTTTTAACAACCACATAACACTTTACATTGGAATCTCGATATAACGAACAGCTGAACGAAGACCCAAAGGACTGGCAAAATATGCTCACTATAAAGAAGTTCCGTTATATTAAGGTTCTTTTTATTTATTGTACAGTCAAACCCTGCTTAAGTCTGGAAACCCACTCAATACAGACATCTCATTGTTACGGACAGTTTGCTTTCTCCCTGGGGACAGAACGCCCTTACATTTTCTACCCGCTTAATAAGCTGACCCCGTTAATACGGACTCTTTCTCAGTACGGCCCCTTTAGTGTCAGGATTTGCGGGGCTTGACTGTATTATTTCTGGGGAGGAGAATATCGCTTATTATTAAAAATTGAATCATTGGATAATGCAATTCTAGAGCTCTGATTGGCTTAGCCATCATGGTATATGAGCCGTTATACCATGCTCTTCAAATATGGTAACTGTACGCGTCTGCTCAAAATTAAAAACAAGATGAAAGTGGGTTGGTTTGCAGATAAAGTCGGGAAGAATTCTCGATATTTTTTGGGCGTTTTTAATAGAATAATTATTCCACTAGCACTTGTTGGATATGAGATGATTAAAGCCAACTCGGTGCTACGCGTCTCGTTGGCTCCCCTACCATCTTATATGTAACGCACACTCGTGGAATAAGTGGAATAATTGTGAATTATACCGAGGACTTCGTTATATAGAGGTTCTACTGAATTTCAGGTGAGAACACCCCCTCTCATTAATGACTGTCCTGTGCTTGATTCCTCAGGCAACTTCATATGTGGCCGGCCAGGTTGAGTTTGTTGGTTCTCACCCTTATTCCGCCATTGCCACCAAAACAACACATCACTCCCACGTTAATCCCACCAGCTGCGCAGGGTAAATTTGAGCCAGAATGGTAGACAAAGAACCACTTTGTGGATGAGCTAGTGCCACTAAATCATTATTTATTTATTTACTTATTTACTTATCCCTTGTGGCCCGAGGGGTAAACAAACAAAAATTCCAGCGTCCATTTATTCTGAATGGAGGAGGAAGGTGGCACGAAATTTTCAGTTACATTTTTTTAAATTCAGTTAGCAATAAGTTAATATGTTGTTTGAAATATGAAACAGCCAATATTTAATTCCGTCTTAATCAAGAGAGAATGAGCTGTCCCTCTTAGTCTTAATGGGATACTTTCCATTGCTTACAGGGGAAACATGGTATTATGTTTTTTTTTAAGAACCTGATTGAAAGGAGGTAGTTTTGCGAATCCGTGTGTTGTATTAGAAATAAGAAATTAAATAACTCACAGCTATAAATCAGGTCAATATACCCTGATTTTTTACTCGACCAGCCGGTAATGTTGTTCATTCCAGTGCATTTATAAGCAGCCCCTTCGTGTTTTTCTTGGATATTAGCATTACGGAGAAGGGAACGTAAGGTATCCTTTCCAACCAGCTGCTCTGAGATGTAAAAACCTTCAGAACCGTTGATGATTTGTTTGTTACTTGGATTGTACCAAACTACACGAGGACGAGGCCATCCCTTAAAAGGTACACTTCAGTTCCATTTCTGTCGTGTCAGGATAGTAGTCAACGGGAGAACTTGTCTTAGATGTTCTCTCAACTGGAACTGAGAAGGAATTCTTCATCTTAATTTCAAAGGTCGTAAGTCATGCACCCAGTCATTTAAACTAGGGAGCTTAAGTGACCAACTCGAAAGCCTAAGCTCCTTTGGCCACTGCGCACATTTCACCTTTGTTCAGGATTTATGTTATTTGCTGGTTTTCTTCTCGTTGTTTTTGTGATATATTTGTAATTTTTATAGCAACCTCTTGAATTAGTGCAAAAAAATATCAAAATATGAAAAGTGAAAATCTGAACCACCACGACGTCAACAAACAATTGGTTTTAACATGAAAACAACAGTTGCTGCACGTGCGGTAAGCTTCTTAGTACATTTCTTTGACGTTGACTGCACGACTATGAAGTGAAACCTCCTAATACGACGTTTTATAGAGAAAGTGAACATACGACGACAATATAGTTCAAAACCACATCAACATAGCATTGTTAAACGTATTTTAGTATTTAAACGGCAGATGAAAAATTTTTAAGGGTTAGTTGCTATTTGCTCAGACCATTCATTTAAATAGAATGCACTGAGGCTTTCTGTTAGCTCTTTTTGTTTAGGATTACTGATTAGGGCCAACTAAAGTCCACTTATGCTGGCAGAACATTCCTGAATTAATTGTCAGGGCTCAATGAGGCGGTTAAAAATAGGTGTTTACAGGTGGTCTACTTGTGGACGAATCTTTTGAGGAGAATTCCTTGATGGAAGTATTTTTTCCAACTGATCAACAAGGCAGATAGCTTTCTTGAAGTCTAACAGATTTTATCGCATTTTTAAAAACGGTTATTCACTGCATTGCTGTAGATCCTCATAAATAATTACCGTATTTATTCGATTAACTGCCCTGGACGCTTATTAAATTTTTGGACCTTGAGAGTGGGCTCTTGTTCGAATCTGGGTGCTTATTAAATTTTTACCATTTTCAGCGATTGTAGCATGTTTATTTTGAAACAAAACGTGAAGATGTACACAAACAAATAAGGTTTCCTTAAAATACGCCGAAGAAAACTCCGACTTCGGGAAAGTCTCTTATTAGTACTAATTCAATTCTAATTTCAATCTTATTTTTACTCAAGTCAATAAGTGAATTCTCTGGCGCTTCCTGCTAGCGCGATGTCCGAAATCGCCAAGTTTGTAAGAAGCAGGTACAGAAGGAGGGGGTTTGAATGGGGTGGGGGTGGGCGCTTATTCGAGGTGGGCGCAAATTCGAGGTTGGGCGCTTATTTGAATATAAACGGTATGTAGGAAAAACCACAGCATCAAACCACTGAGTGAGGATAGCCGGCCGGATGTTGGCGGAGTGAGCTGGATCAGTGAACACTTCCCAAGAAGAAAAACTGCAGTAAACTGATCCTCACAGCAAGAAGAGTTATAGAAGAAGATATATATAAAAAATTCAAATGGTAAAGTGTATTTGCCCGATAGTTCGGTCTCCAACACAAAGCCTCAACGGGAGCTAAA